TATCTAAAATAGAGGCTTTTAAAGCCAACCCGAGAGGGTTTTCAGGGCATTTCTTTTGTGTTTATGAGCTCTGGAAACTGTTTAAAATTATAAATAAATAAATAAATACATATATAATATATATTTATATTATATTATATATATAACTATTATATATTATATATATAACTGTATATATATATACAAAATACTAATAATTTATTTATGTGTAATCCCTTTTAATGGTAAAAAATGCTAGATGCATGAATAAAATTATGCTGCATGTCCTGTTCATCTGCTTAGGCGTTGTCTTGTTTAGCTTGTTTACATTGTAGTTGTTGCTGACTTTCTGTGTGTTCATTCATCTGAGTTTCTGTCTTTCTGTAAATTAAGAAAGGTAAGGACTGACTCTGAAGGATCTATACAAATAATCCGTTTCAAAATTATTTACAACATGACTGAATCTTCTAGCACAAATAAATTGACTTGGACAAACTAAATGTTTATCAAGGCACATCATGAGACCTAATCGGTTCTGCTTAATTATGTGTCACTGCATTTGTGTCCATGGTTAAGATTCTCTTATACCCTTTACCTTCCCTGTCTATATATTTCAGTGAATTCATGGCTAATTTGAGAACAGACTCCTGGGTGGGACAACATACAGCTCTCTGAGCCAAATCAAAAGAAACTAGATTCAGATATACAGAGATCTCACCTTCCCTTGAATGTTTCTTGACTGCCCTCTCTTTCTCATTGCCTTACCTCACACTGAACAGATGCACTCATGGTCCACCCAGCATCTGTCCTTGACTTGTCTCAAAGCCAGTGCAAGTCATTCAATTTTGGCGAGGTATTGTTTCCAGATGTGGAAGAAGATGGTTGTGTCTTGTAATTCAGGTCATTCAAGTATTCTTATAATTAAGTGTATTGTTCTAACAAACAAACTGACTAAACTTGCCATTCCTGCATCTCAGCTGGTAAGGTCACAGGTTTGATTTGCAGGGAACACACATGTAGAGTAAGGCATTCCCAGACTTTTTTGTTAGCTAAACCTCTAGATTATTTAAAGTGCCTCCTGAGATTTTAGGTTAATATTTTTTTATAATTAATGACACATTTGTATGTTCACAGTTCTTGTTTCTCAGATTTCGGTTAATGGTCACATGACATGCAGGTAAACAGTTAAAATGTAATCTTTCAGTAAATGTTTTATTTATATTTATGTTTTTATTTGTAAATTATTAATTTTAAATTATTCATTTACATTTGTATTATTTCATTCATTATTAGCTTTTCATCAACTCACAAACCCCAGTTTGGGAAACCCTAGAGTAAGAGATAACTTCCAGTCCAGGAGGATTGATATTTAATATTTTAAGTTATTATTAGTATTATTCATATTTACATTTTTACCTGTATTATTTACTTGTATATTAAGATTTCACTAAGAAAAAATTAGTCCATGTGTAAACATGCATGCATACTGCAAAACAATCATGAACAAGATCAGCACTATTAAACTAATGGTAATACTTAAGTCCTGCGAGATCATTTTCACAATTGCATGATACACAAGATTGCACCACAGTTTGTATGAAACAACAGAAAGCGAATCCGCGGTGTGATACAAGAAACATGAAAGTAGCACCAGTTTTATTTATACCGGATGAGCATACTGATATACAGTGGTTGACATGATTGACCAATCAGAAATGAGTTTTCCATAGAGCATTGTAATTAGCTTTTTGATAAAATTGTGCCAATATAGGGATAACTTTATTATTTTCCCATATATAACCAGGCCCGGATTAAGAATTCAAACGCCCCTGGGCACAATGTCTTTTAAGGGCCCCCCACCCTTTTCTCTACTCTCCTCCTCTCCTCTAGTGAAATATTTCAATTTTTTAAATATTTCCTTCATTTTTGTTGAAAATAAATGCCATTTCTGATCTGATATATGATGGGCGAAAAAAAGAGAAGAATGAGTTCAGCAAAAGGTGGATTTGAACTCCGGTCGATCGCGTCAAAACATAGAGCCATGCGCTTTACACCCTACGTGCATCTTTAGTAATGTTCTATGCCAACCAGACATTGGAGCTAGTGTAAATAACCTCTGCCAACAAGGTTGGCTATTTGCATATAGTGTAACACTCTGAGTCTGACATTTTTTCTTCCCCTCGCTTGGGCCGCAAGTGTGCATGGGCCCCTGGGCCCGTGCCCATAATGCTCATTGGATAATCCGGCCCTACCTATAACTATAGATGCATTCTGTTGTTCGGGTGTTTTGAAACTCAGAAAGCTGTCAGACCAGATCTGTTCCTACCTGACTAGTGTTTCTGAATGATACAGTGAGTTTCATTAGAGAGCTGCTTATTTTCTCACTTTACTGGCAGCAGCCTGAATCAATCGACTCACTGGGCTCGTGTTCATTAATAATTCATAAAACAGCTGATCCTCATTGTACTGTACTCACAGATCTGTCAGTATTCTCCTTTGGGACTAGAACTGCCATTATCCTCTTTGTGTGTATATGCATGTATGCGTTTAACTCCAGGCCTGAACTAATGCCATCCACCACAGACTTGACTGCCAGGAGTTTTATAGCCAAACATCACACTGTGTCAATGTGTCATTAATAGATTTTACAACCCCAGTTGCACCAGCTAATTCGTTTTTAGCCTAATGTCTTTTAAATCTCGTTAACCCACTACTGTAAATGGTGCCTAAACCTTGAAGTTGTTTTATTATAGACTCCAAATCTGAATTTCCTATTGCCTTCTAAGTGGGTGTGTCTGTGCGTGCTAATAAGGGGAAAACAAAGACCTGGCAGGAGATGTTAAAGGAGAGAGCATGAGCTGGAGGCTTTGAAGGAGTTTGAATAGAAAGAGCAACAGAACTGTAAAATTGGCTTGAGTTGAACAGTCTGTCTCAAATGCTGGAGAGCACCCAAACTCACTGAAGCTCACGGACACAAACACGGCTTCACTCTGACCACTCATAACCATGTAAGCGCACACTGAATCAGGCTTGGGTACTGCGATTGAGCCAAAGACATCAGGAGATTTCACATAATTTGCTACTTTAGTCTGTTATAATGTTATGATATTTCATAACAATGCAAATGCATGTCCTTATATAGCAAAATGTCACCATTGAAAGTCACCGTGAAATCAAAACTGACAATTCAACTTTTTTTTTTTAATGATGCACCATGAATTGCAGTCTGATACATTTCAGAATGCATAGAGAAGTTTTGTTTGTTGTATGATTCAGGCAATATATTTAAAATATGTATATTTTGGCCAAGAGATTTTACATAATCTGCTATTTTAGATAAACATAATATTATAATATTTTATAACAATACATATTTATGCTGGATAATTGCCTATTTCCCTTTTTATTCAAAGTCCCCCTTTCTTGTTCTGCATGGTTTCCTGTTTCATTTCTCACACAAAGAAAATAGACTGCTATGAGTTTGGGCATCTATCCAAGGACCAGATTCAAACAGTTCACACAGACTAGCATGATGCTCATTTGCAGCTAGCTCATACATGCAATCTGCCTAATACACACATAAACACACATACACACACACACACACACACACTTACACAATTCCTCAGCAGCTTAGATATACTGTGATATCTTGTTTTTCTAGGTCATAGTTTAAAAAAGACGTCACTTTCTAATGAGTCAACACTTTAGAGTCTCAGAAACTACACAACAGGGTGACAGAACGAGATGGATGATGGAAAGAGACATGGGGAGATTCCTTTGTGTGTTTTTGTGTTACTCTCTTCAGCTTGCTTATTTCGTGTGACCCAGATATATCCCACAAAAGTACAGAAAGCAAGAATGATTACAGTTCAATATTTCCTCCAGGCAAAAGGCTGTGCCAGAGAGTAGTAAGAGGAGGCCCTAGTGAATTATGGCTCTCATAATTGTATCTGAATCTTCTCTGGGGAAAACATGTGTTTAAAAAGTAGCCATCTGCACCATGAGTAGCCTACTGGCCCTTTTAATGCAGACTGGGTTTTCACCATGCACACAACACAAAGGAAATATTTTCAGTGTATGGTGGTATTACGGCATGCCAGATCACATTAGCTCCTCAGAGAGGTGTGATGAACAAAACACTCCTTTCTCTCAGTGGTGAAATCCTACGTTTCTTTCTGTCTTTGTCCATATAAGGAGAGAACACAGGTAGTGAGTGCAGCCCCTCCTCTATCACTATAGAGGGGATGTCTCAAATAGAGACAGAGTATGCGTGTATAAGTCCATGTGTGTGTGTGTGGCTTCCTCTTTTCATGAATCAGCCTTTAGTCATTTAGCTGATGGCTTCAGATCTTATGCTGATATCTCACATACTAACACCTACTAAACTGGCAGCACATAGGCCTATATACCCACATGAACACAATTTCACGCTTTTGTGAAATAAACAAAATGTTATGTTTATCTTGTATACATGAATGTGTTTCTCACATCACTGATACCCAAACAGAATGTGCTAGGGGTTTTTCAGCACTAATTTTGAGGAAAGATCTGATGAATTATGTGGAATAGATTTAAACATAGTAAAATGTGTTATACAGCTCAAGCTATAGTAGTAGGCCAACGCCTATTGAAAACATAGATTAGCAAAAATATTAATCATTTCATATAAAAAATAATAAAAGAAACAATATGTGTACATGCAAGAGGTGATGAATGAGTACAATGTAGTGAGTGACAAGGGGAAATTCAGTGGAAATCTCCAGAGCTTTATGCAGGCATAACTTCCGCGTGAGTCTACAAGAAAATAAGAGAGGTAGATTTCAAGATAATTCCTATTAGATACATCATTAACTGTCAACATTTAGTCACAAGATATAGCAAGGGAGTTCAATTTAATGTAGGCTACTTAAAGTAATTATTTTATAGGTATCGGTAATAAATAAATAAATAAGCAAGCATGCATGGCGAATTGCTTATAAAATTGATGACATGACTTGACAGCTCAGTATAGGCTATCTATGGAATTGGTCGACAAAAAAGTTGGTTCACTCGTGTGTACGGTCATGAATAAATTAATAACAAATAGCCTAAATGACGCCATTTCCCAAATAGCTGTATATTATAAACTAGAAACAATACATACTTCTGCGGTGAGATTATATTGTTGTGTGTAATAACAAAAGATGTCACAGCTTAGGGTTTTGTATCACAAGTGGTCTTTTGTGTCCGGCGCGTCTCTTTAAAAGGCGTGGCGTAGTGAAGCGGTTTTGTGTCCATCACACGCACGAGCTTATTTCACCGTCACCGATCACGGAGGCGTCGTCACACGCACGAGCGCTGTCCGTTTGAATCACTGGCGTTACAGCCGCGTATCACTTCACACGCAATTAGTCGGATGATTTGCATTTTAAAACGTATTTAACCAAATAATTAACTGAATCTGGATTTAACGCACTGAACCTTTATATGGACTGCGCACTTTGCGGCATTCAGCGTGTTTCCCCACTGTATTTTCCCCGTAGATAGTAGTTCGATTTCAGAAGAAGAGCCGGTGGCCCTGGACGAGGCTCATGAGAACGGAGCGCACGAGAAAACGGCCACGGCCAGCGCGGATTCAGAGCTGGGAGCCAAACTGCAACGGCGCGGGGAGCTGAACGAGGGCGTCGGTGAACACCAGCAGCCCAGCATGAAGGTGTTTAACCCCTACACCGAGTTCAAGGAGTTCTCGAGGAAGCAGATCAAAGACATGGAGAAGATGTTCAAACAGTAAGTAGCTCATACCAGCTGTCATCCTCTGCTGCTGCAGATGTGAGACGTGTGCATGACATCTCAACCCCCAGAGACAACCAGCATGTCCTCAAACAATTATCATGTGACTATCTATCTATCTATCTATCTATGTCTGTCTGTCCATCTTTAAAGTTCATTCTTCAGCATTGTTTATTTAGTATGCTTTTATCAAGGTCTGTACTCATATTTCTGTCCTATTAAAATTGAGCTGAATGTTTAAACAGGAACAAGCTATCTAGTTCATAGTCTGTGACACTTAATTCACTCTGTGTTTACTTCGTTGTGTGGCACATTTTTGGCTGAAACTCCTTCATACATTTAAGAAAGAGCCATAAGCTCAGCCCCACCCAAGTCTGTATCATTTATTCCACATGCATTCACACACAGATATATGTAGGACTTTGAACCATGGGTTGAGAAAGTCCCTTTGGTCATGTTCAGGTTTCTGTGTCTCTAATCGAGAGGCATGTCGTGCAGTCCAGACTGCCCAGTATGACACAGTTCTGTTGCCACCTTGGCTGGATTCTTAGTGAGACTGCCCTCTTCCTTCACAGTTGATGCAATTTACACATTTTCCCCATGTTCGGTATCCAAAACTACTCTCGGAGCTTTTCTAAATGCTGTCTGCTGCATACAGGGTTGGCAGGGCCTTTTATGTCAGACAAGTTTCACTGACAGAAACAAAAAAACTTCTCTGAGCTGAAAAGGTATGGGGAGCCGAATCTTCGTGAGAGTCGCTGCAGGAATGTGTCCCCTGTGCTCTCTGTGGTGGAGCGATCGGTCTGCGGCTGCGACTGCAGGGTCGGTTTCACACAGGCCTGAACCATGTGGGAAAGGGGGCTGGTTGAGAAACTAGCGCTCTGAGGAAGTAGTGGGTTCCTCTCCTAATTTCTGCTATCAAACAAAGCTACCATTGTTGTGAATTAGCCAAAACAGGCCGCCCAAATCTGTCTGAGAAGCCCTTTGCATCTAGATGAGTTGGCCTGTGCATTTTTTGTACCTTCACAAATGAATTTCATTTATCAGAATGTTCTATTTTTCACAGATTCCTGTTCTTGTTATTTTAGTATTATTTAGAGTGAATTCAGGTAAAGGACTTTTTTTCTGCCATTGAGATGAATGGGGAAAATGGCCCAATCATCATGAATTAATCCTACATACATTTTAATTTTAGTGTATTTTTTTTTAGTCATTTTGATGTGCTGTTATTGTTTAGTTTTTTTTCCTATATCATTTGTAGCTTTAATGACTTACTTCTATGAAACTCAAAGGAAGATATTTTGAAAAGTGTCTCAATATATTTTTGTGTCCATACAATGAAAGTCAATATTGTCCAAAACAAATATTGGACCCCGCTGACTTTCATTATATGGACAAAAAGATTTGAAACATCCTTTAAAATATATTTTTCTATGTTTCACAGAGTAAAGAAAGTCGTACAGGTTTGAAACAATGTGAGGGCGAGTAAATGGATGATTTAAATAATTCATTATTAATCATCTGCACTAGAGAACAATTAGTTCTGTCACTGTTCAACCTTTTAATCTAATTTGGCTGCAAAATAGATGTGATAACAGTCTATCACAATAGTTTCATTACCTCTAGGTAACCACATGGGCGTTACAAAAGTAGATAATGGCTTGCTTGAATTTTTTCTTCTTCTAAATTATTGTGTAGACTATTGTTTTAGAGTATCACCTTTTCTATTATGTCTGTAAATTAGTTCCTTGTGCAGTTCATTCGAGGTGTCTGGAGTCACAAGACCTCGCCCAGGGTGAGATATAGCACTAGTTTCATTCAGTCTCTTTGATGGTGTTGCCCATGGCGTTATATGGGCTGAATGAGACAGGAGAGGTGGTTTCATCCGCAGGAGAGTGTGAAGTGTGCATAGCTCCCTTTGTTATGAATAAAACAAAGCCTCTGTGGTTGCTTTACAAGTTAAACATTAGCTAGAGTTTTTCATGGTCTATTCCCAGTTAAGAATTTATAAGATAAGGGGTTTGTAAGTCAACATGCCGTTTAGTTACTTCTCCATGTTGTTTACCTCCATACAGGTTATCAGCAACAGAGAATTGTGCACTGCAGTTGATTTATTATTTTCCAGCTCTATAATGGCTGTTTGTGCCTTTGCCTGAAGCCCTGAATGTAGATAAGGAAACAAAGATGAGACATGGGCGTTGAGGAGGCAGATTAGGAACGCTCTTTATGCCTGTATGAAGCAATTATAAGAACTCATTGATTGATTGTCTCATGACCTTCCAAACTAAAGATGATATTATTAGCTTTGCTTTACGTAGGCACATTCAGTACCCAATAAACACTCAAAAACTTCAGTTGCAGCAAATGTTGCAGTGTTAAATGCTTTTGTGCAGAGGGAGGCAGAAAAAACACAGGGAGGGAGAAAGAAAACTGCGTAACGGCCACAATCTGGCCAGAGTCCAGCTGATAAGAGGAATGCAGGCTTTGCCTTAACCTCAGGCCACTGTTCAGCGAGATTCAAAACTTTAGATTCAGGACCAGCATTCAAACCATAATTTCTGGGTGGTTTTGTAGGGAAGATTAATATGAAACTGTTAAAACTTTGCATAAGTTATTTAACTTTCATGGTGTGATTGTAATAACTAGTGATTTGAATATTTTCTGTTTTTATCCGATTAAAAGGCCCTATCCTGTTTTACATATTTGTGGTTAATGGAAAAAAATGCATATAAATGCATGTGTTCTTCACATAGCCAAGTACACTATTTGTAGGAACAGTCCTGTGGGGGACACATGCTTTGTTTAAAGGTACAAACAACTGAACCTGAAACATTTGTGTTTGCTGCTCTTTTTGGTGGCCGACACCTACAGAGTTCATAGAAGAGCATAACTCTGGGCTTAGCCTGCAAAGTGAGATTGATTTTGAGCAGATGCAGATTTAGCATTGAGGATTATTCATAAGAGGAATTCATTCATGTCAGAACATGTCTTTTGAACTTGCTGTGTATTTGCACCTTACCAAGAAAAATTTTTTTTTTTTTTTTTTTTTTTTTTTTCAGATACAGAAATGAAACTCACATCTGGCTAAAATCGCCATGTTTATTAAGAATGCACAGTATATCAGGACCATATTGGTTACTGGCTGATATTAGACATTTTTTTAATTTATTAGCATTAGTTGATATAAAAAAATACAGTATATAGGATAATATTGAATATTTAATTTAAAAACAAATAATTTAATAACACTGTACCATATTATTTATTTTTTTCCCATTATCAGGCATTTTTATTTAAGTTGGATAGCAAGTGATCACTCAAACATGTATAAAAGTCTTGAATTGGAGTTTCTGATATTAGACATCTTGGCTACCTAAGATCCTTCCAGCAGATGAACTCCAACCCCTCTTATCCCCCCTGCTCGTCTCTGGTAATGTGAATGGCAGCACGGCCTAATTGGCTGAGTGATTATGTGTACAGGTCCCATGCTGTGCCTACATATGAGCGAGGGGCTTTAGTCCTTTGAGGAGCATTCCTGCGGAGTCGCCTCCAGTAATGAGGGAAGCAGAAGATAAACTCTGCGCTCTTCCTCTTTCTGCCTGCCCTCTTTTTCCTTGTGCATTTTCCTTTGGGCCATATTTCTCAGAAAAGATAACATCAAACACATTAAGGAATGTTTGGACGTAAGCCATAACATATCTGCAGGCCACTAGATATGTTTCCACGGGAGTTTTTAGTGAGTTGTCAGTAGGCAAAATATTGCTTGTTTCTCATTGACGGCCATCATAAATTCACTGTGGTAATGTATATTATAGCAGAATGTAATGAGCACTTCTCTCTCCAGCGCATATATTTGCCAAGTCTGTAAATGGTTATGCCTTTCTCCCTTCAGAAAGCAGAATGACGTGATTATTCTCTAAATCACCCATTTCCTCATCTCTGGAAATCCTGCATGTTTAAAGAGCCCCTTAGCGCAGTTCAGTTTGGTGAATAGGATGTTGTTGTGCTTCTAATATGATGTAGATGCATTGAAAGACAGCCAAGTATTTTATCCACAAAAGCTACTGCATTCTGACAAATTTAACTGACACAGTGACCTAAGAGAATAAGACGACGTTAAGAGAGAAAAGGAAGCCAATCAATACATGCTGTCTCAGCAAATAAGATATATGACACTTGCTCACTTAATATATTTAAAACTGATAGGCTGTCTTGCGTTGGATTAATTTAATTAGGTTCCCTATTGGTTTGCTGTTTAGCTTTGCTATCCTTTGAAAGAGAAATTTAATAGCGATTTGGAGTATAAAAGACTGATGCATATAGCACAAGGGGCGTCTTTTCTTCAGAAGCTGCCAATGGTTGTGTAGGTGTGAGTTTTATTTAGACGCACACCCTTATTTGGCATTCACACACATTCGTCACATGCTCATAATGACTCATTTAGGCAGTAGGAAGTGTATTGTTGTGTTTCCAGAAAGGCCAAATGTAACCTCAGCAGTACTTCAGGAAGTTCTCCTCTTTTAGTTCTCATTCCGCCAGGCCTTTACTCCGTTCTTTCTGTTTGTGGCAATTTTATGTTCATGCTTTGAACTCTCCGCTCACTATAAATAACCTCTGGGATTGTGTGGCCGTTGGCTGATCTGTGAAGGATTCTGCTTAAGGACTAATGTTAAAGTCACCTGGTCTATAATCCCAGTAAATTAAGGTTAGTGCTGCCTGTGATCATCAGCTACAGCAGCGTAGAATGCAGTTCATTGCTGCATTATACGCACTGCATACAGTTGTGCATGAACTGCATCAGTGTTTACCTCAATAAATATTCATGAGCTTTGTACAGTCAAATAAGCATTGTGCTTTTAGTTTCAGTATCTGAGGGAAATTGTTAAAAATGTCAAGCAGCAACTGTAAATGTTAACTGGAGTGATGAAGAAAAAACATGGAAATATGAACGTTAACCCAGGATAAAATGTGAAACATGACCCAAGATAACCTAGGAT